CAAACAAAAAGAAACCTCAGCCACGTCTTCGCGGGAGGAAGAGGAAACAGACTGATGATCCACAGGGTGATCCACAAGGCGCGGATGCTGCTGATGGTCATGGAGTCAAGCGGAAAGGGGCTATTGATCCACAGGAAGCGTCCAAGGCACCAAAAGTCTCAGACACTCTGGCTGCTTTGGATGAGGATTTGGATGAAAACAGCTACAGACGTAGCGCAAAAGGCCGGAAAGCGATCTCACGAAAGGTGCAGCGGCTTTGCTATTTGGACACGGAGGCGTTCCCAAACTCCCCTCTGTTTGGGCTTGATGGCAAGTGCCGGATGAAGCATGAGAGCGCCCAGTGCTTGACCCTTCAGCAGATCGCAGAGGTTTGCCCACAGTGCCTAGAAGCCTTGTCCCTTGGATTCCTTTGACATGCTTTGACATATTTTGACATCCTATTCCTATTTATCTTTTCTTCTTTCTAGGATTTTCTAGGTGGCATCATTCGGGACACTGTCATTTTGTAGTGGTTTTCCTTGGGGCCCTTGATTTTGTAGCGCCAAACTTCTAGTATCTTCTGGTCACCACTGTTATAGCGCATAATGTATTATTTGTATATATTTCTATGTATATATATATATATATTTGGTTTTATTTATTTTGTTTTTGGGCACCTCTATATCATCTCAGGTATAGCAGCATTCACAGCCCAACGCTCTATGGAAAGACTGTGCACAAGCTTCTTGGTGGAATAGAGCGTCAGCTGAGAGACACGCCCCCTCAGCGTGGCGCGCTTTTGCGGCTTGTGAAGGACATTGCGGAGTTTCACATGAGCAGGGATAAGGGGAAGCCAATCTGAAGAACGGATTGGATGATCTTTAGGCAGCTGAAAGGTGAGCTGCAAATCGTCGACGCATGAAGAGACAGATGATCGCAGATGCAGGTCTGAAAAGGAGCAAGGGACTGCAAGAGATAGCAAGAGTATCTGGTCGAATTATAGCGACCTCACCCGACCTAACATAATAATACCTCACATAATATGTTTTATTTCAACGAGTATGCAAAGGTGAACTTTATATAAGATGCCCATGCCCGACCTCAACCCTCTATAAGATGCCAGTTCACGACCCTCAGCTCACACAGATTCAAAAATACAAGAATCCAGAGTGATGCTACTACAAAATGTTGTCACACGACCCTCAGCTGACCCTATATCATATTTTCATGATCCAAGACGAGTGCACTACAAAATGTTTTTCAGTGTTTTGTATGTTTTTGGTTTTGAGAGGTTGAGGGTCGGGCCAGGCATTTTCTAGAGCATTTTCAGCTTGACTTGAAACAGACTCCTAGTGGCTGTCATCACTAGAGGTACCTTCATTCTATAGTGTTTTTTTTTTCCAGGTCCTGGCATTTTGTAACACCAAACTCCGCGTCCCCACTTTTATAGCTATAGAATGGGGGGACCAACGTCACCCCGTTATGTACAGGGGGATGAATGACCCCTCCACTGTAGATACCTTTAGATCCATTCCCTATCATTCCCTGATTCCTTACCAAGCACCAGTCAGTCAAAGAGCTTCAAATTACCCTGATGATGTGTTATCTTTCATATACTATATGATGTACAAATACATATCGCAACAAGACTTGGACCCCATATTCATCAACCATGTTTTTTGGTGGTTTGGTTTGGGCCTTTCTTGTGTTAGTTTTGATCCAACAGCACACGATCGAGTTGTTTATTTTTGGATGTGTTATATAATTAGTATGTTGTGTGTGGTGTGTGTGCCCTTGTTGTTTCAACGGCTGTGTATGATGTTGCTTTTCCCCCAGCGGTGTACCTGGTGGCACCCCTCACCTGCACCACCTGGTCAACAGGAGGCCGACAACTCCGGAGTCTCAGTCATCCAGCTGACGCCTTTGGTGAAGGTCGGCACCCATGGGACTGCGAGCGCCAGCGGTCAAGCGCTGTGAGCGGCAGGATCCTGCTTTGGTGGTTAGACCCCAAGCATTTTGCCAGAATAGATCCAGGTGATGGATTTGAAAGGTTTTTGTCGGGAAATGGTGGGGTTCACACCCGTACATGGTTGCTTGACTTGGTCTTTGGTCAGGATGTTTGATGGTTTTTGCATACTCCAAGGTTGCTTGAGCACCAAAACATTTGTTGAATGAGGTTGCCTGGGTGAGTTCGGGGTTTCCCGACGATTCCACCGCAGGCATTGAACACCCAGACGACTATATACAGGAACCAGTAAGGCTATAGATGTTCGACCTGTAGAATGTTGACTGGATTGTTCGGCATGAGTAGGGCTGATCGCGGGGATATTCTCGACTGCTTGTGACTTATGATTGCTTGTTGTTGAGGATTGTGCGTCAGTCATTGCTTTCCGTGTTTCTTCCCCTTGAAAGTTTCAGAGTAAGTACTGTTTGATTCCAATGTTAGGCCTCATCGGCGCGTTTCCATCGGCTTGACCACCCCACTGAAGAGTGGAACACACAGCAAAGCTCAGCTCCCTCAAGCCGCCCTGACATATCATTATCAACCCGTGTGTTTTCAGAGCGCTCTCAATTGATTATCCTCGCCTCCTCCATGGATCGTGTAGACACTCATATCCCTGCTGAAAATAACCCGACCACACTCCATCACACTCCCCTTTGCATGAGGTGCACGAAGAGTATTGGTACGAGGAGGACGAACCTCGCTGGACCATCCGTCTATTGAGGCGGGGTGAGGGGTGCCGCCCCAAACGAAGCCCGGTGTCTAGCGGTGTTTTGTGGGTGCACGTGTCCAACGGAAGCATTCATAGATTGTTGGTTTGCTGGTTTTTGAGAGACAAACATATATGTTGTCCATGTCCTTGTATACCTCTACAAAGACCAAGCTATTATCCGATGATTCAGTTGGCTCACACGTTGGCACAGCTCGATGGGACCCTTCCAGATGACGTTCTTCCCGGCAGTGCCTATCATACCTTTGTTGGGGTATTTCCTTTCGGCAACCAAACACATACGGCGATCACCAAACACATACGGCAGCTAGTTCACTTTGATGTTTGTTCTTTGGAGTGGTACATTGTTGTTTCGTGTCCTTTGTTGTGTCCTAAACCATCCTAACCGATATGCTTTGCACACTGACAGTCTCAAGGATTCACTCACGCAGGTGGCGCTTTGAGCAGCGGATCAGTGAGGAAGAGATGGGCGAGTGGCAGATCGCCAGTCTGGAGGAGAAGTGGCACCTTGCAAGCAAGAATGGTCTGTCTTCGTTTGGACACAGGGTGCATCATGTGCACACGCAGTGCAGCTTTGTTTGGATCCTCGGATGGAGCACTTCGGGGGGTCTTTCTGTAACTTCTCCAAGTCAAACCAGGTTGGCGATGTTTGTGACCAAGACCCAAGTTCCCCCCCTCTTTTCAGGGCAAAGGACCCTATAGGCCCTATAGTTCATCAACTGAAACATGTAGGACATTTTTCAGCAACTGAAGCATGTAGGACATCGGGAGCCCTTGGGTCTTAATCAGGATTGGCCCACATGATTCTTACCGAAAGGTGGTCAAGTGGTTAAGAACGGTGTTGCAGATTAGCTATAAGTTTAAAGGTAGCCTACATGGACGGTCCATCATTTATTTGAGAAGTCGACAGTAGCTGCAACAATTCTAGAGATACAGTAGTTGACTTAGATTCACTTGATACCCTTTGCAGAAACCACACCAGAGTTTGGTGTCCATGCTTGTTGGAACGGCTGATACTCTCCCAAAAACTAGTATAGGCATGTATAGGCATGGAAAGCCAACAAACTAACAACAAGTTTCCTTGACCAAAGGTTGGCTTGACAGGGTTGGGTACAGTTTCTCCAAAACCATAGTATGCAAACATCATATATATATATATATTATACATAATACGTGCTACTTATGTTTGCTTTGGCCATCTTTGGTTAGGAGGCCGAGTCAAACCACCGGCGACATTGGGTTGTGTTTTGGTTGCAGAGTTGAAGGCAAACCAGTGAACGCGGTTGGTTTGGAGGTTGCGGTGTAATTCGGAGAGGCAAGCTGGCAGCTACTGTGGCCGTTGTCAGACCACAAACGGCCACGAGCTTCTCCCAGGTTCCGGGAGAAGCTCTACACCAAGAAGCGCTGAATGAAGCGGTGTGAGAGTGTGAACCATGCAGCCGGATGTGAACAAGGCAACCACGCACGTTTTTCAGTGGTTAAGAATAGGGTATACATGGGTATACAAGTCAGAAGAAAGGGTTTTGAAAGGGTTTTGTGTTGAACCACACACCCTCCATCTCCTTCAACTCCCTCCATCTTGCCCTAGTTGCTTGAAGCCGTCAAAGGCAGGGCCACGCGCTGGCCGTAAAGGACACAACAGAATGTGTAAACATATTTTAGGGAATTTGTATTTGATACAGACCACATTGACCACATCTTCCCTTTTCTGTCCACATTTCACGCACACGATACTCCGTTCTCGCGTCCGAGAACATGTATCGCCGAGAAGGGGATGTGCCATGAGTTTGCTGTGACCAACTCGGTACCAGCGTTTTCGAGGACAGGTGCGAAAACAGTGCAGAATGATGTGCGGAAAGAGCTTGAATGATGTTGCCCCCCTCAAAACGGTGGAAGAGCAATCCTGTTTCCTGGGCCCCGAAAAAGAATACCTATAAGTTTACCTTTGAAGAAAAGGCTGGAGCATTGCAGCGATTGAACAGTCCTTTTTGCACTTCCTTTTTTAAAGGCGGGCGTACTGTAGTACTGGACTGTACCTTTTTTGATTATATAGGTTGTCATCGTGTAAATGACGAGGCTCCTAGCGTGCAACTTGCCCCTTAGATGTTTCAACAACAATTTATCAATATTTATTTTAACGTATATTTAACATGCAAGACACTAGCCAATATGCCGAAAACAAACATATGTTTTTACATGTATATTCACATTCTGCACACAGGGGACCAGGGCTGCTTTGGGGGTGCCCCAACCTCCGTCGCCCCGTTTCGTTTCCCTCTCACTTCTGAGGTGTCACCTGCTTGGAATTCTGTGCCAAGAATCAGATGCTCTTGAGCGCCGGCTTCGATAATTATATTTGTATTTGGGACCCCTCGGCCTGGAGACCCAGCCACCCCGAAGCGAGGGGTAGGGGAGGCGGCGTTCAACGGCGGTGACTGTTGCCATTGGTGAATCTACTGACTGACTGCTGCAGTTTGTGTCATTTGGAAGCGCAGCCCAAAAATGGCCTCTGAAGAGGCTTTGCAAGGAGATACAGGCTCTAATACTACAACAAACATGGAAGAATTGAAGTAAATCTGATCAGCTTCCAGTTTTGATCTCAAAGGGACCCAAAACTGAAGATTCGTTTCAGATTTTCTAACTGGGGCAGGAACTGGCCAGACTGCGGGCGCGCTTGGACATTGATCATATTGATCCAAGATCTGGGCTGGATTCTGATGCAACTCTGGAAAGACGACGACTATCACGTCGCTCATTCGTTTCTTTCCACGTCGCCTAGGCTGGAACGCTTTCATTCAAACTGCCTGGGGCCTCGGTCAAACCGGCCTCGCGGAACCCTGCGGAGTGCGGCGTTCCACTGAAACGGTGGGCTTTCGGTCTCCCTGAATCGTCCAGGAAAACAGCGTTCCACGAAAACAGCGTTCGGAGGTTTCAAATAGAAGAAGACATGGTGATGAAAGCTGTTGAAGTATGTGTTTTTGCTGGGGTGCCAGGCTGTGGATAGAGGGTCCATAGAGTTTGTTGGTTTGCTTTCTGGATGGACTTGTGCCATTTATGGGTTTTGACTTTGATTTCTCAAGACGTTCATGGGAGACAATCATCAAAGTCAAGTGCCGACTTTGAGGCTCAAGCAGGATTTGTCCAAAACCCCTCAGCTCATCTCAAAGACAACAACTGCTCAGGGCTGTGTTGGTTATTAGTTATTAGTTTTTGCAGGGAGGTAGGGATGTCTCGCACGCACATGCCTACAGTCTCCATTGGGCTTTGGACCTATAGCCAGAAGCAGAGAATCAGGGGATGGGACTTCCCAAGTAGGCAACATGGCCCTATGTTCCCGGTCCATGTTGCTCATCATGTCGGGTCCCATCGAATCCTCAGCCGTGCTTGAGCGGTGCACCCACCAGAGTACAGTGGATCCGTCATGCAGGACTGGCCATGAGTGTAGCATCACCGGCTTGTGCAAGATGCCAGAGACGGACTTCGAATTCATGAGTCGCGGCGCCCAGTGACAACGACACATGACACGTAAGGATACCGGCCCAGTGGCAACAGTTCTCCCGAGTCCAAGTTGTGTGATGTAGTTGTTATATATATACTATATTATAACAGTTTCTTTTCAAATAGATCCGCACCCTATGGCCTTTATGACTTTCAATCTATTCAGGAGCTGTGATGTGCACCGCACCCAGGTCTGGATTACGAGGGCGTGGTGCGGCTTTGGGATGTCCGCCCGGCGCTCAATGATTCTTGTTTTCTTCGGGAACTCACACACTCTGACATTGGTTTGCAGTTAACTCAGTTCCCACGTTGAGAAGGAAGGTGAGGGAACAGAAAGGCGCAAGCGAGAACAGTATAGTTTAACAAAAGTTTCCCTTTAGTGCAACTAGACCTTGACTCAAAAATGCAGAACGGCAAGGCGATGGAGTCCGGAAAATTGGAGATGCTTCAACATTGTCTTCATCTTGCATTAGCACTTTAGAGCTTGATTAAACAATTAAATTGGAAAAACACAGGTACGTTTTCACCCAGGTGGGGGGGCGTCTTCATTGGCCGGAGACCCCCCACCTGGCTCCGGCCCCCTGCTTGGAAACATCGGAACCCTTAGGTACAGGGGTGACACACACACGGTGCCGCTTTGCGGCGCTCGTGCGATCGACCTGAATAGGCACCTAAAAAGCCTTAGAAACAAAAGAAAGAAACACAGAAAGAGCAGCGCTAAGAGGGCAAGAGAGAAAGATAGGTGTAGAAAAAGGTGAATACTTAGCCCTTGACTGGGGCAGGGAAACGAGCCTCAAGAACAACCTAAAAAGCCTGAGAGAAAGCCCAAGAAACGACCGAAAGCGTAAGAAAGAAAGGGGGGGGCAGGGAGGGGGTGTA